AATCTGGTTTGAGTTCCAGGCAGTAGACCAGGAGGCACGCCGACTCTGGCCCTCCTCAACTGGCACCCAGCAACTTTTCTGGAAATGCTGGCGAGATAACGGGTAATCCTCCTCTTTCTCCCAGGAGCCCACATCTCCACAGACTGCCTTCTCTTTGTGACCAAAGGGAAGGACTTTTACTTTCTACAGAGGGCGTGGACAGGAACCCTAGGCCTGCTTTGCATCGCCCCAGAGCTGCAGCACCACGTGACATCTGTCACCCTCTCTGCGGGTGCCTGCTCCTCACCAGCAGCGTCCCAGCATCGAGGTGCCACATGACACACGAGAAGCAGCTGCCTCCCAGGGCATGGCAGGCCTCACGTCTCCCGAGCGACAGAGGGGTGCCTTGACTGGGCTGCTCCCGGCTCCCTCCCAGGGAACCCAGCCAGGGCGGGGGACGGGGCTACCTTGGCCTGGATGACCTGTGGGGGAAAGTCACTCATGGCGTTTGTCAACCAGCCTTCCAAGCTCTTGGCAAAGTTACGGATGGCCTGTGTCAAGGTACCTGGAAGAAGCAAACCAAGGGGTCAGCAGTGGGCATGTCAGTGCCCTGCATCCACATCAGGATTACGTAAGTGGGGGGGGGCGGGCGCAGAGCAGGAGCACTAGAACTGATGGTGATGATGTATGGCCAACTCTTTTTACAAGCGACGTAACTATGGAAGTGTATGCTACCTGGATTTTATATCAATAAAGCTATTTGGAAACAAAGACAGATGAAGTGAAGCAGAGACAAATGCAATGAAAGTTTCCGCCCACGAGGAATACGCAACACAGAGGGAACAAGCAGGGCGGATTAGGCCCAGGGGCAACTGAGACTGCAGGGCATGTGTGTCCATCCAGCTGTCTGTCAGTGTAGTTATCCATCCACCTACCTATTTATCTGTCCACCTAGCTATTTCTCCATTCAACCATCTATCTATCTGTCTTCCAACCATGTAACAATTTATCTACCTATCCATCACTCAACCAAACATCCACCCACCCACTCATCCAATAGGTTCTTAATAGGGGCAATTCTACCTTCTGGGAGACATTTGTGATGTTTGGGGGAAAACTACAATGTTTGGGTGACCCCCTTTCCCCCAAGAAGGATTCGGGCCCCACATCAGCAGTGCTGAGATGAAGAAGCCCTGATATATATGCACATACATATAAATGTAGTCTGCTAAGTTCACAATTTATCTTGAGAAGCGTTCTCATTAGAAACGAATCATCAGACCGTTAAAAGAGAGAGAGACGCTAACTGGGAATGAAATTAGATTGAGCTGTTTTGCAGCAACAGGTACAACAGAGGCGGCGAAATAAGCTCATGTTGTTAGTTCTTTTCTTGTACAAAAGCAGCAGACTGGTTCAGTAGGAAGACGCACAGGTGTTTTGAGATCGCTTGCTGGGCAGTACCTCGGATGCCCGATGCCCGCAGAGGCTATGCGCTTGTTAAGAGGTGGCTCTGAGCACATGCCCTTGGGGCAGTGTTCTGCCTGCTGGTGACTTCCATCCCCGGGGAGACTGCATTGCTGCCAGGGGGTGGAGCCAGCAGCCCGCAGCCCTCCTCCTGCTCTTAGAGAGGCGGGCTCAGGGAGGGCAGAGAAAGTCCAATCCCGTGCCTCATGTGTGGGTTCTCTGAAAATCAGGGGGCCCAGGGAGCTGCAGAGATAAACCCATTCGGCTGCTAACCCAAAGGCTGGAGGTTCAAGTCCACCCGGAGGTGCCTCCAAAGAAAGTCCTGGCTATGTCCTGCCGAAACCTCAGCCCTTAAAATCACTGTGGAGCCCCATTCTGCGGGGCAGCCTGGAGGTAGGACAGGCTGGGTGGCAATTGGTCAGGGTGGAGGGGCGGGACGGGGGCGGGGCGGGGCGCTCACTGGGCACGGGCCGCAGCACGTCCGGGATGAGTGTCTCCACCAGCGCCTGGTACAGGATGTGGTCGCAGCTGCGCATCCACTTCAGGATGGGGTTGAACTTGCACAGGGAGATGAGCTTGTCCTTGGGGATGATGGCACCTTCCGACTCTTCGCTGGGGGACAAGGGGGCGGGGGAGGGAAGGCAGCAGCAGCTGAATCCCGGGTACACAGAACGCCCCAGCTCGTCACCCCTCCCCCTCCCCCCAGGCCTGAGACTCCCCACGCGGTCCCCGCCCTGCCTGTGGCGGCCAAGCAGCATCGCCAAATACTCTGCGTCAAGGACCCCCGAGTCATAGCGATGCTGGGGGTTTCCGGGACAGCAACTGGGCGTGGCAGCCCACAGACGGAGGGGCGCAATGGGGTGGAACCTGCAGCCCAGCACTTAACCAGCTGTGCCACCAGGGCTCCTCCTCACCCAAGAAGTCCCTTTGGCGGGGGACTGTAGTGTGGTCACTGCGAAAACTGTTCCTGGGGAGCCAAGTCTGGTTGGAGGAGGCTGGGTGGGTAATAGGAATTCTTAGAATTCCACATGACGGTATTTAATGGTGCTCACATTTAACTCTGCATCAGCGACGCCTCCTCTACACAGGGGCAGCCCTGGCGCTGGTCAGTGCGGTTTGAGCCCCCCAGTGGCTCCGGGGAGGAAGAGTCTGGAGGGATCAGGCCTGGGAAGCTCCAGGGGGCTTCTGTGTGTGTGTGTCTGTGTGTGCGTGAGTGCGCACTCCAGTGTGCTACCTAGCAGGACTTGAAGGTCCAGTTGACAGCACCTACCAGCAGCAGTGGCATATCTCTACTTAGTTTTCTGCCTTTTAACAACAGACAGCGGCTATAATTTATTACTATGTAAATTATTTGGAGCCCTGGTGGGGTAGTGGGTTTGAGTTGGGCTGCACGGCAGGGTCAATAGTTTGAAACCACCAGGTCTCCCAGGGAGAAAGGGGAGGCTTTCTACTCCCTAACAGAGCAACAGTCTTGGAAATCCCCAGGGGCAGTTCTACCCTGTCCTAAAGGGTCGCCGTGACTCAGAATCTGGTGAGTGCAGCGAGTTTGAGTTTTGTCTGTTTTACATATGCGGACCAGACCAACACACACTCTGCCACCGAGTCATGCCGACCCATAGAGCCACCCTGGAGGGCAGAGCAGAACCGGCCCTGTGGGGTCTGAGGCGGTGACTCTTCACGGGAGCAGACAGCATCGTCTTTTTCACGTGGAGCAGCTGGTGGATTCGAACTGCTGGCCTGCGTTTAGCAGCCGAAGGTGTAGCCCACTACGCCACCAGCACTCCTCTACCTACGTGCGTACATGTTTATGCAAATGTGTACTAGGATAGGTATGCGCGTGCTAACGTGTGCATTAAACATGAAAACTATGGAGCTAGCTATCATCTGAGGACACCAGTTCTTTAGTGGATGACAGGCCGGCGTCAGTGGGTGACAGTCTGGAGACTAGGTCTTGGGACCCGTGAAACAAGGCGGTTGACGGGTGGGCTTCCTGGGGGTCCCGGGCTGGCTAGAGGGGCTACCTGGTAGGCATGGAGGAGGGGCTGTCACTGGAGGGGGCTTTCGAACTCCAGAAGGTGAACCAGAGCTTCTCCACGTAGTGAAACTGCAGATTCATGACAACGTCCAGCGTGGCCTGCGGAGAGCCGCTGGTGAGTAGGGTCTAACTGCCCACTCTGTCCTCAGGAGGAGCCCCAGCGCTGGGAGAGGAGCAATTCCATCGCCTCACCACAGGAGCCCCACCCCCACCCCTTGAGGGTACACTTCCTCCTGAGGGGCGGGATTAGAGGGGAGCAGTGTCTCCCACCATACCCACAGGAGCTCCACCCAGTCTGTCCTCAAGGGCGGGATTAGAGAGGGCCAGCCTTGCCCACTTCCTCCTCAGGGGCGGGACTGAAGGGTGGCAGCCACAACTACCCCTCACCACTGCGTGGAGCCTCATGGGTAGGAGGAGCTCACGGACATCCCCCCCCCACACACACACACAGGAGCGCGAGGGGTTGGGGGCGGTGGTCACCTCACAGTGCCGCCTGTAGGCCAGCTGAAGGGTCTTGATGTCCCGAAGCGTGAGGTCACCTTGAAGCAGCATGCCACTCAGGTCCAGCGGAGGGAACTCTGGGAAGACGTGGGAGACATCTGGACAGAGGGGACCAATCAGGCTGGCGCTCTGGGCATAACCGGTCCATACGTGGAAGCCAGCCAGGGCACCCATGAGGGTGGCCAACCGTCGGGGGCGGGGAGGTGTCCTATCTCCCTTCCTCCCATGGGTCACTGGGCCTTCTGTTCAAGCTCAGGAAAGTGCACAGAGGCTACCATGTCTCCTGACGTTCACCAGGGCCCTGACACAGAGTCAGGCTGGTGTCCGAGTACTCGCCCCCAGGGGGCTATGGGCCCACCACTGCTCCTCAGGGACCAGGAGAGGGAGGCTCATTCGTCAGCACCCTCAAGGACTCTCCCTGGATGGTCAACATGCTAGGCTGCTACCCCAGAGACTGGAGGGCAGAGTCCACCCAAGGGGCCTCGGAGGAAAGGCCTAGAGATGGACTCCTGAGAAATCCAGAGTCAATTCCAACTGGTAGCCCCCTCCTGTGGCAGAGCTGGATTGCCCCCTAAGGTTTCCTGGTCTGTGACCTTCGAGGCAGCCGGCCACCAGAACATCCCCCCCCCCACCCGTGGGGCCTCTGGGTGGGTTCGAACCGCCAACCTTTCGGTTCGCTCCTTTCTAGCCTCCCAAACTAGAGGGGCTCTGAGTTGGCATCTACTCGATGGCAGTGGGCAGTTTCTGGTGGTGGAAATGGTGAGAAAGTCTGTTTCTGTGTGTAAACGCCACCCACGGGTGGTATTTCTGAACGCTGCTTTAGACGTTAGACAGGACAATGGGTACAGTCCCGCCGGAGAGACGCGGCCTCTGGAGAAACCCTGGAGGAGCCGACTGGACCTAGCCGTGGTCGGGCAGGTCCTGCGCCACAGCGGGCGGGACGAGGCGGGGCTGGTGCTCACCTATGTACTGCTGGTGGTGCTGGTGCTGCGCGGCCATGGTCTGCTCGGGCGTGCTGTGCAGGCTGCTGTTGGAGCCGCTGTCCCCGAGGCTGTCACTCTTCTGGGCTGGCCGGTACCTGGGCAGACGGGCACCGTTAGCTCCAGCAGCCTGGGGACCCCGGGAGGGCGCAGAGTTCCCGTGGGAGATTTGTGGGCCTGTGTGTACAGGTAGTCCAACTCGCTGGCGATTCTGTGCTACGTCCGTTCTGACATAACTTCAATACCAATTTTTTTCTTTAAGATTTTTTTTGGGTAGCATTCGTGATCATTGTCTTTTGTGATCAGTAGCTTTATAGATCACCTGTGTCTGGGGGTTGGCCAAGAGTGCCAGCGCGGGCACCTTTAGGTGCTGCGGACACTGTCCATGGTGTGTGGTACGACGGAAGGACAGGACTGGGCTTGGGAGTCTTTGTGGGAACATGAAAGTGGGAAAAAAAGGGAGCTCCCCACAAAATTTATAACGGAAGGAAAGTTCTCCACGGCCCTTTAAGGCTCCCTCACAGGTGAAGAACAAGGCCGACACCCCCCAGGGTCCGTTGTGACTCGAGGGTGCTGGAAGTCGGGGACTCCCCGCGCATCCGAGGTCGGCCGTGCACCACGCTGACAGGCACACAGCTCAGTGACGCAAATGACCTGTCCCACGCGGTGGGACCGTCACCACCATCTGTGGCCAAATGCGGTTCATCACCACAGAAACTGTGTCGCCCTGACCCAACAGGGGCCCGTTCTCCATCCCTCCCCCTGGGAAAGCCTGGGCAGACTTCCTGCCTCCCTGTGTTTGTCTGTCCCGCCCCTCTCACTCAGGGCCGGGGCCCTCGGGACTTCATCTCTCTTTCTGTCCAGGCAGACGTTGGGCCGCTTTGGGGCCACTGTGAATAGTGCTACTAGGATACCGGAGAGGAGCCCTGTGGGGCTTGGCCTGCTAAAGGAAGGTCAGTCGTTCGAAACCACCAGCCGCTCTGTGGGAGAAAAAGACGAGGCTTTCTGCTCCGTGAGGAGTTACACTCTTAGAAATCCACAGGGCAGTTCAACCTTGTCCATAGGGTTGTGCTATCCTGGGGATTGACTCGATGGCTGTGAGTGAGGGACACTGGGGGCTTAACACCCCCACCCCAAATCCTTCCCAAGGGAACCAATAAGCTTCTTGGTATAGAACCACACCATCATCCCACTCTGCTGCCTCAGAATATTGCTAGAATTCTACCTCGCCTGGAGCCACAGAGCAGTGCAGCTGGAGCCTCGTTGCACCCGGAGAGCTGGCATTTGTGGTGGTGGCGGAGCATTAACTCAGGGGTTGGCAAACTAGGACCTGGCCAGATCTGGCCCGCCACCTCTGCTTGTGAATAAAGTTTTATTGGCACCCATCCACGCACACGCATTTCTGTTGTCTCTGGCTGCGCCTGTGCTACCACCGCAGACCTGAGGGGCTGAAACAGAAGGGGTCAGGCACGGTGGGCCCGAGGCTACTGAGCACCTGGCACTTCACGGGACAAGCCGGGCGACAGAAATGAGTGGCTCTGTGATGGGTGGGGAGGAACATTCCAGCAAATGGGCAGGCCTTCTCGGGCATCAGATGAACATGCCAGGAGGCAGCAGTGGTGTGAGTCCATGGGTCTCTCCCCTGGCGTGGGTCATCCTGAAAGGTACCCCCTGTGTGGTGGGGAACATTCTGTGCCAGCGTGGTTCCGCCCTGGGGCCCTGCTGCCCGGGCACACGCTGGGCTAGCTGCGGCCACAAGGCAGTGCCAGGCAGTGCCGGGATCAGGAGGTCTCAAGTAAAGCAGGCAGCCCCGAGTGCGTGGGCCTTGTCCAATCAGCCGAGAGTCTGAAGCGCACAGAAGGAGCCTCCTTGGGGTGTCTTCGGCCCCCAGACGACACACAGACGTTCTGCCAGAACACTGTGGCTTCTCGCCCTTCCTGTGGCCTGACCTGCGGATTCTGGGACTCCATCTCCAGGAGCCTGTCCCAGCCACCTGTCACTTGATCTTTGGCTTTGGGACTTCTACTCCACCCCAATCACATGACCCAAGTCTTTGAAGGAAACCTTCCTGTGGGGTGGCCAGGCCCCGCTCACAGCACCCGTGTGTCAGAGCAGAATTGTTGGAAGTAGATCGCCAGGCCTTTCTTCTGAGGGGCTCATGGATAGATGCCCACTGCTGACCTTCTTGTTACCAGACAAGCGCTTCTCAGTTGGTGCCATTCAGGGATCTCTACGTGTGTGTACACTATGTACACGCACACACGTATTTCATACACACATGTTCACATAGTAGACCTTATATGCTCACACACGTGTATACACACAGGCATGTACCATGCACGTGTGTGTACATGTGTATATTTAAACACATGTATGTTTATACCCGTGTACACACTCCCTCTCTCTTACCACAGTCTAGGGCAGTTCGACTCTTGTCACTTATGGTCACTATGCGTCAGAACTGACAGCACATACAACAACACAAACACATTATATCATGGACAAATACTTGTACAGTTTATACCCTTCAAAAGGTTCATAGGAAAATTCTATTATCTTTTCAATCCATTTTTCTATGAACTTTTTGAAGGTCACTCCCAAACATGCACTATATACTAACACATGTTCACACACATACATGTATAAGCACATACATGTTATACATATAAAGGCACACATTACATATAGGAATGCATCAGCACACATATATCTACACATATACATAGATATGCACATATACATACATACATGCATACACACATCTATGATACACATATACATGTACACATACTTCTGAAATCCCACTGGCCTCTAGTTGGTTCCAATCCCTAGTGACCCTTTAGGACAGTGGTTCTCAACCTTCCTAATGACGTGACCCTTTCATACAGTTCCTCATGTGGTGGTGACCCCCAACCATAAAATCATTTTCGTTGCTATTTCATCACTGAAATTTTGCTTCTGTTATGAATCCTCATGTAAAAATCTGATATTCAGGATGTATTTTCATTGTTACAAATTGAACACAATTAAAGCATAGTGATTACTCACAAAAATAATATGTAATTATATATTGTGAAATATTTATTTCTAAGGACAAATACATGAAATTTTGTCTTGAAGCATGGTGTAGCATGGGTAACAGTCTTAATGCAATACATGTTTCCGATGGTCTTAGGCGACCCTGTGAGAGGGTTGTTCGACCCCCACAGGTTGAGAGCCACTGCTCTAGAGCAGGGCTGTCAAACTCAAGGAAAAGGCGGGCCATTTGATGCAACAGGCAAGATTCACGTGGCCACATCCCACTTAAAATGTTATTGCATTCCTATTTTGAAGCGAGGATTCCGGAATATGGATAGGCTGATTCAACCACTATATAATTGCTTTTCTTTAAACATTTATTTTATTGAATGTATTAAAACTAAAATTATTCTTTTTTACCCAAAACTTGCCAGTACTTTCCTCCTACTAGTTTTCCAATATCTGGATTCAGAGATTGAGACCAGACAGATAGATGTTTATCAGTTAATCTCGATCTGTATGCCGTTTCATTCAACTTCATGGATGAAATAGTTGCTCCGATAATGGCTTCCCTCTGAAAATGTTAACTAGCACTGCTGCTAGGTGTGATTCGTGGCAGCACAGCCCCGAGCGCTCTTTTTAACCTTTTCACTATTGGGATCTGTTTACATTATGTGACACTGAGAGTGGCAGACAGACCGCTTCCAAACGTCGCCGGCACTGAGTCAGCGTGTTTATACACGTCCGCAGGCCCTCAGGAAAGGCACTGGACCCCGTGTATACCGGTCTTCAGTAGTTCAAGGGTTAACGAGGGAATTGTGTGTACGGTATTGCCTTAATCTCCCTTAAGTGCTATTTTCTTCTTAACATTTTTTTTCTATTTTCATTTTATTTCAGAGCATCTCGGGCCACAAAAAATTAGTTTGGGGGCTGCCAGTTTGACACCCCTGCCCTAGAGGATTGCGGAGGCTGTAAATCTGTGCAGGAGCAGCCAGTCCGTCTTTCTCTTGAGGGTTGGCTGGTGGGTTCAAACTGCTGACCGTGCGATTAGCAGCCCAACACATAATGCACTTAGCCACCGGTGCACCTTTACACATGTGTACACAATATCATAGAAACAGAGACGACATGTGCACACATAAGCATGCAGACGTGCACATACCAGACACACAGACATGTGCACCCATGCACACTAGGCATACATATACACAACACACACATACACATTAATGCACAACCCTCAAATACGTGTTATCTAGATCCAGATATTCACAGACACGCACGTATATCTATTAGACACATGTGCGTATGCACACACGCACCCTCTCCCCTCTCCCCGGGCTGAGGGGACACGAGCCTCCCGGAGTCCCTTTCTGTCCTGTCCTTCGCCCCTCTGACCCCGGGGGCGAGAGGGCGGCGTCTGAGGTCCCGCCCCGCCCCGCCGCTGCTCGCCCACCTGGGCTTCTGGTGCAGGGGCTGCTGCCTCATGGCCGTGTACTGCGGGTCCTCCTGCAGCCGGTTCAGCGGCGAGTCCGGCTTCAGGCGGATCCCGTAGTAATGGTACTTGGAGTTGCCCCTAGAAACCAACACGGGAGGTCAGCTCTGCGGACGGACGCCCACCAGTACCCCTGGGCGCTTGCTGCCCTTGCTCTGGGGGAAATGTACCCCCCACCCCCGCCCCCTGCCCCCTGTCTCGCACCCAGCATGCTGCCTGGGGGAGTCTCTTCTTATGTGTAATGTGATAAAGACGTGGAGATGCAAAAGGGTCAGGGAACCGGGTCAACTTTATTTAATACCCCTGCCCCCCCCCCAAAAAAAAAAAAAAAACAGAGGTAGGGGGGTAACTTCCACTCAGGGCAACTCCCTGTGCTGCTCAAGCAGAAGTGGGAGCCCCACTCTTTTCTGGGGTGTTCTTCCAAGGTGCTCTGGGTGGGTTGGTGGTGGTGTCAGCTGCAGCCAACTGGATGCCACCTCCCAGCCACCCTGTGCTGGGTCAAGTCCCCCTGCCTTTTGGAAGGAGACAGCCAGGCCTTCCTGCCGAGGCACTTCAAGGTGGGTGAGAACTGCCAACCTTGTGGCTAGCTGGGGTGGGTCTCACCAGGAGCAAGAGGGCTCATGTGCCCTCCCCCGCACCCCTACCCGAGCCTCCCAAACTGCTGTAGCCACCCTTCCCTTTCTTGGGGGGGCGGGGAGTGACCCGGTGCCCCTGGCAATTCGAAGCTTTTGTTCCACAGCCCCCTACTGCAAGACAGTGTCTGCGCCTGCTTTTGCAGCCCCCTTGGGCCATCCCAGAGTTGGGGAAACAGCTGCCTACAGGAAGTGGGGGGTCCCACCGTGATGTACCTGGTTCCCAGGCGCCGCGTCCTCAGGCCCATGAACACGGAGCGGATCAGCTTGCCGAAGGAGGCGGCGTTCACCGGGTCCAGCTTGTGCTCCTGGCAGTGCCGCAGGTAGTGGTTGTAGAGGGAACTGCGGGGCAGGCTCACGCCCTCCGCCGTCTCGTAGTTGTCCAGCAGCCACTGGAGCTGGTGGGGAGGGGGCCAGGGGAGGGGAGACACATGGGCACGGGTCAGAGCCTCGAGGTTCTGTGCGGACCCTGCGCCGTGCAGATGGGCTGCGCTCCTGGGTGTGGGCTCACGAGCTTCCTGGCCCTGTCTGTGGTGAGTGGCCTGCTCTCTCGTCCTTCCGTTCAGTGTCCCACATGCCACGCATGGTTTAACCAGCAACACAACGCCAGGCTTCTCCTGTGTCCGGCTGTCACTTACTCTGCCCCGACTCCTGGCCGCCGGCTCCCGCTTTGGCTGTCACCTTTGGAAGTGGACTGCCCTGCATGCCTGGGTGGCTTCGACCCGACAACCTCTTGGCGAGTCAACCAAACCCTGTTTTCTGGCTCACCGGGGACCATCTTAACCCTATTACTGCCAGCGAGTTGGTTCTGACTCATGGCCACCCAATCGGGTTTCCCAGCTTGTCCATCTTCATGGGGGCAGAGAACCAATGGTCAGTCTCATCTTTCTCCCAAGGAGTGGCTGGTGGCTTGGAACCACCAACTTGGCTGTCAGTAGCCCAACACTTGTCCATAGCGCCCCCTAGAGGGAGGGAAAGAAATCCTTAGGCCAAGAGAAAGGATGGCGTGCGTGCGTGTGTTGGGGCCGCTAGCCACAGTCAGTAGTTGAAACCCACCAGCTGCTCCAAGGGAGCAAGAGGAGGCGTTCGGTGCCCTGTAGAGAGCGGCAGCTTCGGAAACCCAAAGGGACAGCTCTACTCTGTCCCACAGGGTTGTCAGGGATCTGAACGGATGGACCCAGTGGCCATGAGTCTGCTTTAGCAAAGACCCCACGCTGCCATGGGGTGGGCTCCGACTCACGGTGACTATGGGATCAGAGTAGAACTGTGCCCCACAGTTCTCTCGGTGGCTGTGTTTAGCCAGTGCAGATCGCCTGGCTTTCACAGTGCCTCTGGACCCGCTCAAGCCTCCAACCCTCTGGGCACACTCCCTGTTTTCCAGGGACCCGCCCCTACCCTTGAAGCTGGTCCATGATTCAGCCCTGACGGCTGTGTTCCCCTCCCTCTCCCAGGGGGCGACCCTGAGCACAGGTGGACGGTCCCTTCCCCACCCTTCATTGGGGAGGCCGAGGGACTGTGCAACTGGGAATTCTGGGAGGAGGACGAGGGTGGATGCGGCCACATTGGAGTCAGGCGGGTTGTAACCCTCATCTCCCCCTGAGTGGGGTTTCAGAGAAAGGACAAACGGGCCGTGGAGAGACTGCCACAGGGGAAGATACCAGGTGAGGAGCGGCTGACAAGCCAGGGAACTCGTGCTCAGGGCGACTGGCCAGGAGGGGCCTCCGCTGGAGCACTGGCCACCCCCGCCCCTCTGCCGCATGGTGTTTCTGTCACAGCAGCCTTAGGGGGAAAGGCAACACAGAGTCCCAATTTCCAGGGTGGTGGGATGGGAGGAGCATTGGACTGGGAATCCTGGGTTCTAAGACCTGCCTGTGAGCCAACCCCCTCTATGAACCCCCACTCCCACCCCCACGCACAGACACACTGGGGCTTTTGGCATGGACTGAGCTGGTGCACCAGGTACAGGAAAGGATGGGCGAGAGGCCTACACCCCTCCTCCATGCTCCCTGGCTCTCATATCCCTCCCACCCCACAGACACAGAAAGCTAGTCTCTGGGTAACTGCTGCCATCAGTGAGCCGTGAGTCAGCACCAACCCCTGGCGCCCTCGGGTGCATCAGAGAGGGACTGTGCCGCACAGGGTTTTCTGAAGCAGGTTGCCAGGCCTTTCTACCGAGGCGCCTGGGTGAGCTTGGACCCCAGCCTTCCGGGGAGTGGCTGAGCAAGTAAGCAAACCATTTGTACCCCCAGGGCTCTGACACCAGGTGCTGCCCCCACATGGCTGGAGCACAGCCGGGCTCTGGCCTCCGAGGGATGTCCTAGGCTGAGGGTGTGGATGCGCCTGACCCGGTCAGTCCTGGGCAGGGGTTGGGGTGGGGTACTGGGGAATGTGTCTGACCTCTGATCCTGACCGGCCAGTGACAAACTGCGGCTTGTTGGGTCACGTTCTAGCAGCTTTGCGTCAACAGAGTCAAACTTTAAACACCCGCCGTTCCATTCGTCCCTATATCTGCCCACCCACCACAGTGACCGAGCCAGGAGCCTGGGGGGGGGGGGCTGTTCTAGGTGCCACAGTCCTTGGGGAGCTGCTGCTTGTGGGAGCCAGGCGAACCCCACCCCGAATAGCAGGCTGTGCAGAGGGAGAGAGGGTGGGGAGAGCCCTCTGAGGGAAATCATCCCAGGAAAGGGGCAGGCTGTAGAGGGGCGGGGGCTGCAGGGAGAGAAGTTTGGCTGTAAATTAGGGCCGAGGGAATGACCTGCAGAAGGGGAAGGAAGGTAAGGGGGGTATGGACATCGGGGTGCAGAAGGCTAGCAGAGAAGGGCCGTGACTTGACAAGCTGAGACCAGATGGATGGATGGCCCTGGGGGGTGGGGGTGGGGCAGAGGGCGGAGGTGACCGTGACAGTGCTATTCTGAGGGAGCCGGTGGGGCTGGACAGTGGAGGGGAGCAGAGGTCTGACTCTGGGCAAGTCAGGGAGCGGGTGTGGGGGCTCTGAAGGAGAAGGAAGATGGCTCAGGGTTTGAGCCCCAGGAAGGATGGGGCTGCTGGGATGGGGGAAGGTCCCTGGGGAAGCCCAGCATTGGATTGGGGTGTTGAGACACTCCTTCCAGCAGCGGGTGGACAAACCCCCCCAGGGTGGGGGGGTGTCTGAGTGCCCACAATGTGTCCCAGCAGGGGGCTAGGGCAAGGCATCCTTGAGGGAAGTGGGCACTGAGACCGCCCCCCTCCAGCAATGGGTCACCAGAACGACTGTCTGTAGGTGACCCTCGTCACTGCATGGTCACTGTGTCTGTCCATGACGGGCAGCTAGCCAGTAGTCCCTGAGCTGCCACAATCTGCTTTGTGGTGTGAAAACACAGAACCAATGGGCTGTCTGCACATGATCCAGCCCCGTGATCAGAGGCTGGAGAGGAGGATCTGGGGGGCAAGGGGGACCCGTCTGCAGTGTGGTCATCTCAGGGAAGCCCCTCAAGAGGTGACCTTGATCCCCCCAGATGGGCACAAGATGTCCCCACCCCACCCAGGGATTCTTCTAGCAGGGTGAATCCCCTCCTCCTGGGGTGCCCACACCTGGTGCCTATGGCATGTGGGGAGCCCGGGACTCCTCTGTCTTCCTGCAGGTCTGCAAAGTGCCCACTAGTTCTTCCTGCTGGGGGCCTCGGGGGCCATTCCCAGAAAGGAAACCTCCATTGGTCACAGAGCATCCCTCCCGGCCCTGCTGCCCCCAACACCCCCACTGTGAGCGGCCATGCACACTGAGCCTGGGCCCTTGGAGGGAGGCCCCGCCCACTTTCCCACCTGTGTGGGTGCTGACCCAGCTGGAGGGTACAACTGGCACAAGGTCCTGGCTTCCAGCCGGGGGTGGAGAGTGGGCACCCTGAGAAGGGAGGTCTGGGGGCACTGGGAAATGGGCCTCAGGACACAGCCTGGCACCACTGCCCCTGCCACCTCCTGGCTTTGCCCTGGGGATGCTGACTGAGTTCGCTGCCTCCTTGACTCTCATAGAGAGCGGGGGCAAGCTCCCCCCGCCCTTCACCCCCCGGGCTGTGGCAGTGACAGACTGTGTTCAGGCCGGGGAGAGCTGGGGGTAGGGGGTACAGCCTGCCTGGGACACTCAGGGCTGAGCCAGGCTGTCTGAGGGCGGTGTGGCCAGACACTGGGCCACCCCTGCTCTCAGCCTCTCCCTCAGGGCGTTGCCGCAACACAATACGAAACAAAACACAGCACAAAACACACCACCAGCTCAGCGCCATCAACCCCACTCAGGAGACTGCATCAGGGCCGAGGGTCTCCGGCGTGGGAGTTTTCAGCATCGGACTCCCACACCTGCCTCTCTTGGCGCCTCGTGCTGCTGTCTGCAGGTGGGCAGCGCCTAATGGGAGGAGATGCCTGATGGGGTGGGGGACACGGAGCCCACTGGAACCAGTAGGCAGCACGGCCAGAGAGGCTCTCTCCTCCGTTATCAGCACGGTGTCCATGGAGACTTCAGGGCCCATGGCTGCCTATGACCAGCACCCTATCTTCTGTCTTCTTCGGGGAGGCACCCCCAAACACAACCCCAAACCTAGCCCACCGCCGTCCAGGCTCCCAGCGACCCCGGAGTGGAACTGCCCCAGAGGGGCAGCTGGAAAAAGTTGGCTGCGTTCATTCATTTTTCTCCTGAAACCTGAAATGCTGGCCTCACCGTCAGTGGCCAAGCGCTTCCCTGCTGCGCCACCAGGGGCCCTTGGGGACTCTGCAGCGCTGACCTCACTTGGAAGCCCGCAGGCTGTCTCGGGGGCCATGGATGTCGGCTTTAGGGCTGTGCCTGCACCCCAGGGGCCACAGCGTCCCCATGTGCCACCTGCCCCGCCACCAGGGCTCCTCTGCCTAGCCACCAGGGCTTTCTGTGTCATTGATCCTAGGAGAATGTCAAGCCCCAATGAGAGGGCCCGAAGGCAGAGCCGTCACCACGACCTCAGTGGCCTGGCCTGCTTTGCTTTCAAGACGCCAAACGAATTTCTACCACGAGCAGTGGTGGAGCCGCAGTTCTGGTGAGGGGACGGGGGGTGTGGGGTGTGGGGGGAGACTGCGACCTTCCCTTCTCAATTGCCCCCAGAAATACAGAGCTCGGTGCCGGTCATCTCCAGGGCCACCTGTCCTGAAGCTGCCCAGAAAGGAGGGACTTTACAGCAGCCTCTCTCAGGCCCAATGGCCTTGGACTCTCTCAGGAGGGCAGAAAATCCCAAAGCAGACCCCCTACCATCGGGCCTATTCCCGTTCCCAGCAGTCCTGTCAGGACAGGGTGGAACCAGCCCCTTGGGTTTCTGAGACGGTAATCCTTGACGGGAGTAGAAAGCCTCGTCTTTCTCCCTCGGAGCAGCTGGTGGTTTCGAACTGCCGACCAGCCCCACATGCAATCCCTTATGCTACCAGGGTGTCTGCTGCCAGGGCAAGTGGAGGAGAGAAACCGAGCACAACGCAAAGGAGTCGGAACGGCATGGCTTTAGGCCTCCCGCAATCGCCAGTGCTTCCTGGGAAAGCTAGCCGCCACCGGCGTCTTTCTGACCTGCGTCTGTGACATGTGCACGGGTCAGTCACGGAGAGAGCAGAGCGGACCAGAGCGTCCGGGCAGGCACACACTTACATGGCTGTTCAGTAAACCGCTTTTGTGTGACGCAATCCCTTCACTTTTTTGCAGGTTCTCAATCGCCATTTCAAGCTACAGAAGATGTGCGCAGAGAAACAAAACAAAACAGAAGGAGGAGAGGGAAAAAAAAAGGGGAATCAGATGGTTAGCATCAGCCAAGGTTTGTTTTTATTAATATGCAACTCACGATTAAAGGAGCCTACAAGATATGCACGAGGCTGGACACAGAGCGGCCAGGCGGGAGGTGCTGGACCTCGAGAGAAAGCTGTGGCAGGAATGGCCCTCCTCACCTGCAGACTCCTGGTGGCACACGGCTGAGCCGAGTCAGCACAAGGACCAGCCCTCCTCCCCATCACGGGCTGAACTGTGTCCCCTGAAGAGACACGCTGCAGTCCGGGGTCCTGCACCTGGGACAGTCACCTGTCTGGAATAGGGCCTTTCCGTGCGGATGTCATCCGTGCAGTAGGACGGGTCCCAGTCCTCCCCTTCTGAGGCGGGGGTGAACGGACATGGAGCCAGTCTCACACACACATGGGGAAGACAGCATGTGAGGATCTGTCCACAAGCCAAAGAACAGCCAAGTCAAAGAATGGACAAGACAGCCATGACAAAGAATAGACGAGACAAAGAATAGACGAGACAAAGAATGGCCAAGTGAAAGAACAGACGAGACAAAGAACAGCCAAGTCAAAGAACAGCCAAGACAAAGAATGGACGAGACAAAGAACAGCCAAGTGAAAGAACGGACAAGACAAAGGACGGAGAAGCCGAAGGACTCCATAAACACACAGAAGCTGAGCCCCAGAGCTGACACAGTGAGAGCATGACTTTGCTGGTTCCAACTTCTAGACTTCACACACAACGCATCTCTCTTCCTTAAAGGCGCCTGTTTTGTGGTATACCTAGTCCTCACTTACTGGCCACCTCGCTGCTATTGGCCATTCTGCATGCATGGCGAGAGGTGGAAAGTCCACGCTCAGCCTTCCTAGTGATGGAACTCCCCTGCAGCCACCTGGTCGAGACCACCCCAGGGTGCTTGTTGCTGCGCAATGTGCTAAGATATGGGAAACAGAAGGATTTCTCTCAAGTTGTCTCCCCCAAATATATGCCAGACTTAGCTGCTTGAGAATGACTATACACTTGGAGGTCATCAAGAATAGATCAAGGATCATTCTCCCTAAGAGCTATCAGCCATCTAGAGCAAGCAGACACCACTGTTTATCCCACAACAAGTAGGGCCCACTCCCTTCTGATAAGGATAGTCACATGTATACCCCTAGACCTTCCCATTCCTATGGGCACACCCCTAGTTCATCCCCTTCCTGTTATGCTTATGCCTATCATAGATCCCTTTCCTACAATGTGTGTGCCTATTGTACTGCCCCTTCCTGTGACGTGTGGTTACATGTAATCATGTCCCCCTAAAGAGATATAACACTTGGTTAGCAATAAAGAAGGGGCTCTCCCTGGTTCTCGGTCCTGAGGGCTCCCCTGCTCTCCCGGCTGGGTTCCCCCCACGTGAACCATCAAGTGGGGCTGAGGTGAGCAATGCTACCATGAATTGTATCTGACTCCACTTATTCCAATCTCTCCTCTAACTCTCATGCTCTCTATGACTTTACTATAATCTTATTATCGCTGTACAATTGCGCCTACTGGACCTGTGATGATTTGTGGGGTCCTCTCCCTTAACCCCACGCCAAGAGAGTAGAACTGTGCTCCTTAGGGTCCCCGAGGCCATCTTGTAACCTTTGGGAAGCAGATCACCAGGCTGGCTTTCCAGGCACCTCTGGGTGGGCTTGGACTGAGGGTAGACAGGTGCTTGGGGACCTTCTGGGCCTATTGGCCCACAGCCCCAGGGCAGCAAGGGGAGGGCAGTCACTCAAGCACAGAAATGCGGGGGTCCTCTTCCCACCCTGTGGCATTCGATTTGAAGCTGGAAAATCAAGCAGCTGTGCACCCACAGGTACTTGTAGGTACCTCTCCTCCCTCTCCCACCCTCCACTGAGCTGTGCAGGGGAGGGGCTATGAGGAGAGCTGGGGTGGGCTACTTGCACTGTCACCCAACTGTGCAAGGGCTGGTGGGCCTCTCTCCTCCACCCAGGGCTGTTGTCCTCATGACTGTGAGGCCAGTGCACCGGGTGTGCAAGGCTCTGACTACCCTTTTGGGGCAGACTGCCAGGCCTTTCATCTGTGGTGCTCTGGCTGGGTGGGCACCGCCAGCCTGGTGGCCAGCAGTCCAGCGCTTAAGCACTGTACCACCCTGTGTCTCCACGGTGTCTGGTGAACGCCCAGCCAACTCTGATGGCCGAGGGAAGACCTGCTTTCTCCAGCGCGGTGGCCCCTAGCCTCTCTGGCCTAATGACCCCTCACACAATTAAAATGATTCTTGGACACCTGCCCCCACCCCCAAAAAAATGTTGGCTTTTGAGAGTTGCTTCAGATATAGGATTCCTGGTGGCTGGTGCCGTGGGTGACGGTTGGGCTGCCAACCACAAGGCCAGTGGTTCGCAACCACCAGCCGTTCCATAGCAGACAGAGGAGGCTCTTCCACCAAGAGCCTCGCGTGGTCGGAAACTCGCGGGGCCGTCCGTCCTGTGCTACAGGGTCGCTGGGAGATGGAATCCACTCGGTCACAGGGCCATTTCAGACCAGACAGGAGAGCAGGAATAGGGAAAGCATCTGTGTAGCAACGGCGCAGGCCCGGTGGTGTTTCGCGGCGGTGGACATGGTAGGGCGGTGGGCCGGAACGGACGACGAGCAGCAGCAGCACCAGCCACGTACACGTGAGGTCAGGCCCTCACACAGAGCAGCAGGCCTTCACAGCCCGTGCAGGGACTCGGGCCCACTTTCTTTGATCTCAGACTCAAGCTCCAGGAGAACAGAGCATGTGCATCCACCTCTAGCAGACAAAGGGCTTGAACCGGGAGCCCACGGATGTCCCACCAAGAACAGCCCAGGGCCTGACCACGGGGCTTCATGGACAAATCCCAGTCAGCGTGTCCAGAAGAAGGAACGGGGATGATTTCTCAGCTCCTCCCAAACACACACCACATTGATGGGGGGGCCCCCGGGGCTTGTTTTCGGTTGTTTTGGAAAAAAAGCCTTTGACAAAACCCCACCCCTCTTTAAGATTAGGAACACGCTAAGACTTTCTCTCCCAACCACTTTGATTTAAGACTGCCCTGGAGGTTCTCGGCAGCGGGGTCTGGCGGGAGGAAAAAGAAAGAAGTCAAGCTATTTCTACGGGGCGCGTGTACCGTGCTCCTGTGTTTAGGAGAAGTCGGAGCCCGGGACGCGGTGGTAACGAGTTGGGCTGCTACCCTCAAGGTCCACGGTTTGAAGCCACCCGCCGCGCTGTGGGAGAGAGGTGAGGTTCTCTACTCCCACGGAGAGCTACAGGCTCCTAAAACTGACTGTGGTGCTGACTGTACACTTCGTTTTCACATGAGCAAACTAGTGGATTGCATGATACATGAATTATGTGCCCACAAAGCTGGGTTTGCTTCATTTTTTTAAAAAGAGGAGTGTCGTCTGGGGAACCCACGGGGTCAGTTCTGCCCCGCCTGTCTGGTTGCTCAGTGGGGACCGACTCCACAGCAGCGAGCACACACAGGAAAAAGGGGCACTGGAGGCGCAGTGGGCTGAGCACCGGGAACGCTGACGGCGAGGTCGGTGGTTCTAACCCAGCACGGGCTCTGCGGGACAGAGAAGAGGCTGTCTGCTCCCATAATGAGTCACAGTCTCAGAAAACCTTCGGTGCAGCCCCTCCTGGCCATTAGGTTGCTGTGCAGCGTGGTGGCAGGGAGGAAGCACAGCAACTTGTGACAGTCCACAGAGCACCAGTGTTGTCGAATGGAGGGTGCTCTGACTGTATGCACACTTGTTGGTCTGGCTGCGCTCATGGTGACAGCCACGGTGCCAATCCTTCCCCTCGAGGGTCGCCCTCCTTCCCGCTGCCCCTCTCCTCTCCCCAAGCACAATGTCCATCTCCAGGGACTGGTCTCTCCTGACCACGTGCCCAGAGCATGAGAGATGATTTCTTGCCAGCCTTGCCTCTTAAGGAGCCCTCTGGCCCTGCCTCTTTCAAGACAGCGCTGCTTGCCCTTGCAGCTGTCTGGTATTTCCCAATATTCCCCTCTAGCACCACAATCCAAATACAGCCGCTCTTCTCTGGTCTTCCTGGTTCAGGGTCCAACTTTCACACGCGTGGGAAGCACTTAAATACACACCGTCGCTTGAGTCAGCCGCCTTCCTGGCTTCTAAGGCGTGTTCTGGGCTGCACAGAAAGGGTGATTCTGCTGCCGGCCCACGGTCCACGGCCCTGTCATGATTCCTCCCCAAGGCCCTGATGCAAATGCATTCGACTCCTCCCTGCTCTTCCCCCCTCACTGCCCAGCTCCCATGGGCACCGCAGGTGGGGGACAGCATGGTGGCCTGGGTCAGGCACACCTCTGTTCTCCACGGGGCCCCTGGCTCGCTCCCATTCAAAGCGGTCTCGGTGCCGGAGCAGTGGGCTGGAGAGGCAGCACCGTACCTGCTTTCTTGAAGGCTGCTCCCTTGAGCATTGACTGTGGCTCCGAGAAGGGTGCCATCGCCACCCCTGCAACCCCTTCTCCGGCCTCCGTGAGTCGGCACGCACGAGGAAGGCAGGGAGTGGTGGGTTCGGCCTCTCCCGCAGACAGCCAGGGGAAGGAACCAACCGGGTTCAGAAGTAATGCCAGGGCGGACGCGGGGGTGGGGGGACTTGGATTTGCCTGCTAGGGACTGGTCCCCAGGAAAGACCAGTTGGCGGAGGAGGATGTCCTCCTGTCTGGGCAAGCAGAGGGCTGGCGACTACGAAGGGAAAGCCCCCAGGGAGGCGGCCTGACGCTGTGGCTGCAACCGTGGACTTGGGGCCGTGTCCCGAAGACGGCGCCACCTCGGCACCATGCCCTTCTGCTGTACGTGCGGTGGTCAGGAGCCTGGGCCGGCTCGATGGCCACCACCAACCCGGAGCTAGAGCTCGCTGCCGCCAGCAGAGGATGGACACGCACCGGGGTCCAAGCACAGAGTGGAGCTACGGCCAACGGATTTTTGGGCACAAGCCAGTCCAGGGTGAGGTGCAGACAATGGCTGGGGATGGCCCTTCCGGCCATGGTTCCTCATGTGAAGCGCTGTGATTCTGGACACTCGGAGGCCATGTCCCCACTTTGGAGGGCCTCTGCTACAGTAACGGGCAGGAGTCTGAGGATGAAGTCCCGCCTCAGTGGAGGGTGTGGATCGAGACACGCCCTTTGTTTCCCGGGGAGGGTTTGGCTCGAGGTTTTTGGAGGGTGTGACTGAAGACAGCAGTCTTCATTTTCCTTGGGTGAGTGTGTGGGGCGGGGGTGGGGGTGGGGTGGGGGCGGGGATGATCAGCTAAGACAAGAGCCACACTTCCATCAAAGCCATGTAGGAGAGCCACCAGACGCAGAGAGGGAGTCTCAGGGCCATGGGAAGAAGCGCATATTCCAGATCTCGGTCTGAAGTGGCGGTGGAACCTGAGACCAGAGGCACCAGAGACTGCCCAGTGCAGCTGACAGACGGGCAGAGCAGCAGCACCGAGAAAGGACGGGGCTGGGCTGTGAAGCGGAGCCGCAGGTGGGCTTCGTGGTCCACGGAGGGGAGACCAAGGGGCTACGTGCCTGAGGCCAGAGCGAGGCGAGGCTGCTGGCCAAGGAGAGGGGTTGCCGCGGGCCACGCCAGACCTGGGGTAACCTGCTAACTTCCCTAGGACATCCTCTGAATGGAGCGGCACCCATGTGTTCTGTGTGGCCGTCCCACGAACTACGGAACCCAGCATAGTGCTGTGGAGGAACGGTTGGGGTTAGATTTGGTCCAGGAAGACGGAGCTCAGCGGATGGTCGTCTGACCCCCGCCTCCTGGCAGCAGGGAAGCCAGAGGAGGCCACGTAATCCCCACCCAGGCTGTTTACTGCCAACAAGGAAAGGATGGTCCTTCCCCCGCCCCCCACCCACAAACCGTGCTAGGCTGCTTCAAGGGCAAAAACAAAACAAAAAACACAAAACCTTGGGCTAAGCCTCACACCGTCTATAAAAATTCACTCACAAGAAAACAGATTGCATTGTAAAAATGTATACCACCGAAGAGAAAAGTGGGCGGAGCCCTCCACAGTCTGGGCAAAGCAAGGAGAGCTGAACTCCACACCAGAAGGCTGATACAGGGAGGAAATGGGGGAAGGTGCACTCAATCAAAATGACTTTCTCTCTCTCAAAAGGCACTCTGAAGATGGGGGGAGGGGGGCACATTAAAGTCCTGGAGGAAATATTTGCAAATCACACCTCGGACAGAGGACTGGTACACGGAATATGTGCAGAAGTCTCCACAGTAAGAAGCCAGCCAGCACCACCAACACAGTTAAAAGTCAGGCCCACCTTCCCCTGCGCCCAAGAACGTATACGGAGGGGAAGTCAGCAAACAAAGATCACCGCCACTGGCTAAGAAGAGACGCAAGTTTAAGCCACTAGGAGGATGCACTGCACACCTACCACAACGGCGACAACAGCACGTGTTGACAAGGAGGAAGTGGAGGCCCCGGGAAGGAGTGGCAATCTCTTAGGATGCTACGTCTCCTCTTACTGCAGGAGCCACCACCCAGCACTTATCGATAGTTCCCCAGGAGGGGACCGTGTGTGTCCATTCAAAGCCCTGTGCGCAAATCCTTACAGTAGTTTGATTCCTAACTGCCCCAAACTGGAAACAACCCAGCTGTCCCTCAGCCGGTGGCCTGACTGACCAGCACTTGGTCCACCCGAGCCCTCGGGTACAAAAAACGAAGGCTCTTCTGATTCAGGCAGTCATTCGGCTGGATCTCAGAGCCACTATCAAAAAGTCACCTGCCCTGTGAGTCTGTGCACCTTGCATTCCTGAGAAGACAAACTGACGGAGGTGATGGAGGGCAGATGGGTGGTGGCCATGGGGGGCTGTGGGGGGTGGGGTTCTTGTCTGGGACCGTGGTGGCGGCCACACCCATCCATAGGACCTGATGTTTTCCACAGGCCTTCATTTTACTCTGCATGATAAAGAAAATAGACGTACACGTGGACAATGGTTTCCAAAGTTGAGCCCTTGTCTGAACAGGGGCCGGCAGGAAGGACTGGGCCCAGTTTCCGAGGAGGACTTCCCTCTTGTTGAATTCAGCCCTGCTTTTGGTATAGGGCAGGAGCATCCCACCCACAGCAGCACCTTCCTCTGGGGACTAGGGGTAGGGGGGTGCTTCCCTCCCAACAGCCCAGGGCGTCTGCGCTGCCCTCCTGAGGAGCTCCAAGTGGCTTGGGTGAGACCAGAGAGACCCCAGCTACGAGTCGCCTGACCCCGTGGCCCTGGGAGGCCCTGCTACTCACCGTGGCTGGTGAGGATCTGGACGTGTGGGCCAGGGGGTGCCTGGTGCCGTCCAGCCCCCCGTGGATGAGATAGGCACCGGTGCCGGAGATGATGGGGGTCCCCGAGACGTCCATGGTGATGCCCACCATGCTGTGGGTGGGGACGGCCGGCGGGGACGAGGCCGCCACAGTCACCTGGGCCCCGGCCTGGGCCTCAAAGTAGGAGGCAGCGCTGCTGGGGGCGTACAGCTGGGGCTCAGGGTTGTAGGCGTAGGCTGTCCGTCTGTCGGGAGGAGAGGGGTCACTGGGAGGCCCTCTGGGGTCTGAGAGCTTCTCTGAGCTCCGAAGGACTCCAGCCAAATCACAGGGGGACCCGAGCCTGGGGCGGGGGTGGGAGGGTCTCTTTGTGGCCATGGACACAGCTGTCACTAGATGAGGCGCGGGGGATGGGGAGCTGGGGACCCAGGTCTACAGCTGGGATTAAAGCCATGCGTGGGTT